TTATTAAAGGGACCCTAACATTAGGCTTCTATATTACCAAGCTTGTGCGTTCAACATTTCAGGGCGAAGAGCTTTGGTCTCAAGGCGCTCTTCTTTAACCCTAAACCCTAAACCCTAAACCCTTTTTGAGGGGCTTGAAGAGCAGAGCAGAGAGTAAGGTATTCGCCACCCCAACTCCAAGCAAGTCCCTATGTACAACCCACAACCTAAGCCCTGAACCCCTGAACCCTAAACCTGAAGCCCTAAACCCTAAACCCCAAAACCCTAAACCGCAAACGCCTAAACCGTAAACCTGAAGCCCTAAACCCCTTCTCACAGCCTGTCTCACAGCCTAGGCCTAGGAGCCTGCGTACTGAGACCTCAAAATCCTCCGACATGCCAAACCCTCAAACCGCAAACAAAAAACACACCAAACTTAGTATAGCATAGTACAGTATAGTATAGGATAGCATAGAAAATTACAGTATAGAGAAGCATAAAAATAGTATAGTCTAGTATAGTTTAGCATAGCATAGTCTAGTATAGTGGTAGTATGGTATAGTGTAAACTCCACAAGACTCTAACCACCAAAGCCTAAACCTCTAGAGTCCACAAAAGTCTTAGTTGCTGAGTTCATAAGCCCCAAAAAAGTGTACACTTTCAGTTCTATAAGGGATCATAGAATCCCAAAAAGTGTAAAGTGTACTCACTCAGCTACTGAGACAACGTTGCACGTGTCTTGGCAGCCAGCTTCCATCCCGACACGACTGCTTCGCACAAGGTTCGGCAGGGATACAGTGCACACATCTGCCCTTAACCCTAAACCCTGAACCCTAAACCCTTCCCCATCGCACACTCTCGGATAAAGCCCCTGTTGAGGGCCCGGAACCTGAAGTGCAACCGAGCTCCGATTCCCAGAGGCTCCATGTACCTTTATAGTCGATACTTAGGGCTTAAAGGGGTCCCTATATAGGTACTTTGAGGCCTAAGTATCTACTAAAAGGTACATGGAGCCTTCGGGATTTATGACATACAAACACTTCTATGCGCCTAGAAACCACCTATCAAGCCTTGCAAAACCCCAAGAGCCACTCTAAACCCTAAACCCTATATAAACCCTCACCCCTAAACCCTAAAACCCTATACAAACCCTTAATAAACCCTAGATAAACCCTGTATAAACCCTAAACCCTATATAAGCCCTAAACCCTAAAACCCCCGTAAGCTCTACCCAGGCCTTCACGCTGTGAAGCAGTGCATCCACCGTTTTCGGCCCCAGGTCGTTGTAGTCCTTTCTGCTACGATGAGGGCTCTTTAACCCAAAGGCTCCATGTACCTTTATAGTCGATACTTTGGCCTTAAAGGAGTTCCTATGTGGGTACTTTGAGGCCTAAGTATCTACTATAAAGGTACATGGAGCCTTTGGGTAAGACATCACAAGCTCCAGGTTCTGTCGGGGCTCTATAGTCTATAGGGTCGCCACGGTTTAGCGTTTAGGGTTTAGTCCTATGGAAGTACATATATAGTAGAACGTAGGCTACGATGATGAGTTGGGAAAGTATCCCCAATAACGGTAGCCAGGGCCGTTTTGGCTCAGGGATCTATGACAATGAGGCGTAGATTCGTAGATGGGCTTACCCTGAGGGTCCATGTGCCCCAATAGTCCCTAAACCCTAAACCCAAAGCCCTAAACCTTATATAATCACTCTGGGGCCAGAGTAGATGGGTAGTTCTCGAAATTAGGTTCCCTTTTTAGGCTTTTTAGGTCCCCAATATAGTACGGCACCCTTATCAAAAAAGACCCTTAATTTAGAGAACTATCCGTTAGGAACCCTAATAGCTCCCTTTTAAAGGAATCCTAAAAGCAACCCCCAATTTAGTAGTTGGGCACATGGACCCTTAGGCTTACGTCGTCGCAGGCTCCAGGGATGCGAAGGTTTGGGCTTCACAGAAGCGGCAAGCCCTATAAATCCTTAGCTGGTTCAGGGTCTATAGGGTTTAGTGTTGAATAGCCCTAAACCCTAAACCCTAAACCCTAAACCCTAAACCTTTTAGGGGTTTAGGGTTTACAGGGTTTCGGGTTTCAGGGTTTCGGGTTTTGAGGTTTTCGGGTTTCAGGGGAAACTTGACCGCTAGACTCGTCAGGCCCTATACCCATCTACATCCTTGTAAACGTCAAAGCCTGCCCTAAACCCTAAACCCTAAACCCTAAACCCTAAACCCTAAAGCTTGCAGCAAAAGAAACACAAGCATTGCATCGTCTGCTAGAAGCACTTCAGTCAAACGAGAGAATCTCTCCCTGAAAGAAGTAGACGGAACCCTTCAAGGAACCCTGAAAAGAGCCCTTCTCTGGACCCTGATGGAAACATGATATGAAACTTGGTACAAGCCCTTAAGACATAAGAGGAACCCCCTTCCCAAACCCTAAACCCTAAACCCTAACTTCAGAGGAGCCCTTTCAAAAGGTCCAGGTGAAGTTCCACCAGCGCCGTAGACATCAGCGCATCGGCCGCGAAGACCCCGCCCTCATCGCCAAGGCGGTTGCTACCCAAGTCGAGCGCGGTGACAGAAGCCTAGGATCTCATGTAGGGCATGCATGAGGGGTTTAGGGTTTAGGGCTTAGAGTTAGGGTTTTAGGGTTTACGGCTTTATGTTTTAGGGTTTAGGGCTTTAGGTTTTAGGGTTTAGGGCTTAGGGTTTAGGGTTTTAGGGTTTAGGGTGTAGGGTTCATAAAGTAGGAACCGACTAATTAAGAAACCCTGGCCCTATAACACCAAATATGTTAGCATTCATGTAAAGAACCCTGATCAAGACCCAGGGTTTCTTAATCAGGCTCCTACATTAGAGGGCTTACCGTACAAGATAGAGAGTCCCGAACCCAAAACTTCGGTCCAAGGATTGGTTTATAGTGAATCCCAGACAGTTGGAATGTGGATTTCGGATGATTAGTGCTAGGATTCCCCGTATTCTACCTGAAGGCCCTAAACCCTGAACCC